CGAGAGTATGCTCCCGCGGCAACGGTGTTAATCATCCGATCGAAGATGCCCGAATTATTACGAATTGTTGCGAGGTGTCGTATTAAGGTATTCGGTTGCTAAGCCAAGCTTGAACACAATACATTGAAATAATCTGAAATAAATATATAAGTAGCTTCGCTACATTTTTTTATTGTTTCATTTTTCAAATGAAAAGCCGAGAAAAATATATGATAACAAACTTCGGATATTCATGTCGAGTAATTTATACGTAAAATATCTCAACACAAAGAATAGCTTAGGAAGATGAAGTTTGAAGAAAGAATGTTCTTTCTATGGCATAGTTTCCATTGAACATTTTCTATAAGAAAACGTGCAGTGCAGCAGCGGAATTCGTCAATAGAATCGGAAATTGACATAATTATCAATGGATGTTCAATAGAAGTCAAAGAGAATTTTCTGTCGAATTCGCTAGGTTTTTCAATAAAATTTTTTCTGGCGTGAACCCCTGTCAGCTCCTTCAGTCTGCTCCACATTTCCTTCAAATAGTCAACTACCATATTTGTTACTCCTATCACCAATTCCTCGAATAACTTTGTTATTTCATGGCAATCGGCAAGATCAGATAAAACCAAAATTCTTTCTCGCTATCTTTTCAGTGTTCAGTTTGTTTTTCTTAACAATCTAGAATTTTGATTCTCAGAGATATATTCATCATATTCACCCTCTTACATTGTGAATATCGTTGATCTCCATCATCTTTATGGTGATAGATTGGTGTGAAAAAATCAGGGGACTTAGCGAAATAATAACAACGTTGGTTGGCTTGACAGAATGAGTGACGTTCCGGTAAAATATTTTAGATTCTTCTGGCTCTTGACATGATTAATGCCTAGGCATGTTATTCCGGATGATTTAAGTGTTGCAACTAATCACTCGCATCTTGCATCCACGCGTGCAATAGGAGTGTTTCAGCAGGTCAAGTTTATTTCTGTACTTATTGCAATTGTTGAACAAGGTGAACTGAGCGAGTGATCATTTCCAACACTACAAATATTAAAAGTGACATGACTACATATTGTTCATGTCAAGAGCCAGAGATAGCCAAGATAATTTAGCAAAAAGTCGCTTCTTTCGTCAATTTAATCAGCATTGTCGTCATTCCTTAAAATCTCCGAAGTCCTTCACATCAATTCTGAACATCCTCTTTCCCGGTTCACTATCTAGTAAAGCGGTAGTCTTTAGAGAGCACTCTTGTAGTCCTCACAGCATTCAAATAGAACTGAAAAAAACAAGCAGTTGGCCGAGCCTATTCGGCAGGAGACATTTGACCATTACTTTTTTCGTTAGTCGTCTTCTTTCTTTTTATTTCTGCCAATTCCATTGGTAGTATACTTCCGAACGGATCCGTAACAATCACATTAAAAATGGAGATCATCAGATCACTATGAATGAACCAACTTGGAAGTATGTAATGTTTGATAATTTTTTTTCTCATCAGATCGGGAATAGACACAAAATTTCGAAATATTTCACAATCAGATTTTCTCTTATCTACATTTCTTTTCTTGTTTCCAAAATTTCACAACAAAATTTTTCGAATCAATCTTTTAATTCATCGTGATAGTTATTAACTTCCCGACCCGTAGGGAGGAAGTTATTGTAATGACCCCGAAAATCGAATGTGGATATTTCATATTTCCATGTTTCATGGCCCCTGGAAAAATTCTATAACGTTTTTGGATGGGTGTATGTGTGTGTGTGTGTGTGTGTGTGGTTTTTTTTTTTTTTTTTTTTGAGGTTTAATGTAATCTTCAAAACATTCCGTTAAAAGTATGTTAAAAAACGGATCTCAGATTTTTACTGAGTAAAGCCCTCTTTCCTCAATTCCTCTTACCCCATATTCCCCACGGAACGGCCGTCAGGCATTACTTCGCGGGGGGGGACATCAGCTCTTGCTCTTCCTCTACTAACATCACTAACCGTACGTCCTCCTTCCTCACTTAGGTGTTGGGCGTGGGAAGAAGGTTTCGGTAGCTTTTCCTCCTATACAGCATTCTTTCGACGACGCTCTTCCTCGCGGAGCTCCTTTATGACTTTCGTCGCAACGTCACTCGTTGCATCCCAGGCTGTTTTCAATGACAGCATGGCTTCCACCAAGTTCTCGGGCAGGATCGATGCTCCAAGTTCATTCTCCCACTCCAAGCGGCTCGTTCTGAAACGTGGACACATGAAAAATACATGCTCTGCGTCTTCCATGGTACCTAAGCAGGTCGGGCAATCCGGGCAATCTTCATGTTTGAATTTATGAAGGTAGGCCCGGAAGCACCCATGTCCTGAAAGCAACTGTGTCAAATAGTAGTTGGTCTCTCCGTACTCACGATTCACCCAAGCACTCACCTGCGGGATAAGACGATATGTCCATCTACCTTTCAGTGAGGTACTCCATCGTAACTGCCATCGTTCTATGCTCTTTCGTCTGGCCTCAGCCTGAATCTCGGTTGGACTTAATGACGTCTCTCCTTTTTGCTGGAATAGGGATCTTCGTTCCTCGGCTAGCACTTCAATTGGCATCATTCCGGCTATAACACACACGGCATCGTTGGACACGGTGCGAAATGCGCTGGCGACCCTAAGAGCACTAAGTCGGTAGACAGGCCCCACTTTGCGCTGATTCTGCTATAATTGAAGGGCCTCCGCCCATACAGCAATGCCGTAGGTGAGTACTGACGTAATCACCGATGACAGTAATGCTCGTCTCCTCTGCTTGGGACCTCCAATGTTGGGCATGAGGCGAGACAAAGCTGCTCGAACCCCTGACGCCTTAGTTCTGATGTGTTCCACTTGCTGCTCAAAACTGAGTCAGGCATCAATCATCACTCCCAAGTACCGAATATACGGCTGGGATGTGAGCTCATAATCCCCGACTTGCAGCGTGATTGTCTCCAACACCTTTCTGCTTGTGATCAACACGGCCTCCGTTTTATGCTCGGCCAGGCTCAGGCCGGCGGAGTCCATCCAACGGCGAGTCACCTCGAAAGTCCTTTCGAAGGTGAGCTTCATGTCTTCCAGGTATTTTCCTACAATCACTACGGCCACATCATCTGCAAAAGCCACGAGCCGCACACCGCGTGGCAGTGTCAGCTTCAGCAGTCCGTCGTACATGATGTTCCACAAAAGAGGACCCAGCACCGAGCCCTGAGGTACCCCTCCAGTGACTCTGTACTCTTTGGGGCCACTCTCCGTGTCGTACTTGAGGACCCTCTCGGTGAAGTAGTCGTCCACCATCCTCCGCAGATATTCAGGTACACCAAATCTCTCAAGGGCCGCCATGATGCAGTCCCATCGGGCTGAGTTGAAGGCGTTCCTGATGTCCAGTGTTGCCACCAGGCAGTACTTCTTTGTGCCTCCAAGCCATCTCTCCCCTGAAATCGCCTCCCTAGCTGTATCGACAACTAGATTGATCGCTTCAAGGGTTGAACGGCCTCTCCGGAAGCCGAACTGGTCGTTGGACAGCATTGGTTCGACAGCTGCTTCTATTCTTCTGTGGACGATGCGTTCAAGGATCTTACCAGCTGTATCGAGCATGCAGAGAGGACGGTAGGATGAAGGTTCGTCCGGTGGTTTTTTCCCTTTCGGGAGCAACACTAGCCTCTGCTGTTTCCACTTTGCAGGGAAGATGCCCTCGCTGAGACACTCGTTGAAAACGTCCAAGAAGAGGCCTGGCAACGCATGGATAGCGGCTTTCAGTGCGATGTTTGGGATCCCGTCAAGACCCGGGGCCTTGGCATTCCCGAATCTGTCGCACGCCTCCATCAGCTCTTCCTCGGTGATCGATGGGACCATCAAAGTCTTTCCTCGTGTATTGGCACGCTGAAATTCCGGTTGTCGCGGGAAAAGCACCGCTACAATCTCCTTCAAGAGCTCGGGACAGGTCGGCGATGGCATAGGCCTGCTTTTCAGCCGCGTCATAACCGCCTTGTACGGTCTTCCCCACGGGTCACTCTCGACTTCGTCAAGGAGTCCAGTCCAACTTTTCTTTTTGCTCTCCTTGATAGCTTTGTTGAGCTTTCGGCGAGCATCCTTCCATTTCTTCTCCAGTTCTTCGGAGTTCAGCTTTTTCCGACCACGCTGAGCCGACCTTCTAGCCTTAACGCACTCCTCTCGAAGAGCTCCAATATGATCATTCCACCAGTGCACTGGTGGCAGACGGCCTCCACTGCGTTTTCGAGGCATTGAGGCATCACAAGCCTCGCTAACTCTTCTCATGAGATCCTCGGCTTTCTCCGTAGCACTGCTGCCCCGTATGGGGTAATCATCCAGTGCCACTGAGAATGTGCTAGGATCGAAGGTGCTCACCTTCCAGCCGATTTCGTTTGTCTTCCTAGGCATTGGTCTGTTTTTTCGACCAGCGGACACCTCCCAAAAGATTGCTCGATGATCACTAGCGGTGTAGATATCCATCACCTTCCAGGAGTAGTTTTCCCTTGCGAGATTACTACTGACGAAGGTGAGGTCTACTATTGAGCTCCTGTCTCCTCTTTCGAACGTGGGTCCATCACCGTTGTTCAACTGGACAATGTTCAGCGAAGACATGGCCTCCTGTAGTGCTTGCCCCCTTGCTTTTGTCTCGTTGCTACCCCAGTCGACTGCCCAGGCGTTGAAGTCCCCCGCGATTGCAATAGGGAAGTGCTGCTTCGCGTCCTCAGTTAGTCTATGCAGGAAGTCCGTGAATTCGTCAAGGGTGAGGCTTGGTGGAGCATAACAGCTGTAGAAATAAATTCCATCCAGCTTAGCTACCACAAAGCCAGCTTCATCAGTAGTCGCAATGCTTTGAAACGGAAACTTCCCACAAGACCAGATTACGGCCTTGCGACTCTTATCCGTCTCCCAGGGCTGATTGCTCAAATGTCTGTATGGCTCCGAGACGATCACCAGATCGAACTTCAGCTCCCGCACCGTCTGCATGAGCAGATCGTGTGCGGCCTCGCAGTGGTTGAGGTTTAGCTGTAGTATCCGCATTACTGTTTCTTATTCACCTTCTGATGTGCCTCCCTGAAGACAGGGCATCTGCTGCTACCAGCAATATGGGCACAGTCCTTCGATGGATCTCTCTCAGTGCATAAGGCACAAAGGGCTGCTTTTTCACAGCCAGCAGCTTTGTGTCCATCTTCCCCACATTTTGTACAGAGCTTTGCTCTGTCCACTTGACTCCTACATTTGATGGCGAGATGCCCATAGTGCCAGCACTTGAAGCACTTGATCACTCTCTCCACCCGTCTGATCCGGCAGTTCACCCATCCTATACGGATCTTGCCTCGATCGCCTAGGACTTTCTTCACGACGGCTGCGGCCAGTGTCACTGAAGCAGTCTGGGTACCTCCGTAGGCCTTGCGCAAAGACCTGATGGCATCCGGGGAAATTTGACAATCTACCCCGGCTGTGAGTCTCAGGGCTTCAAGCACCTCTTCCTTCGTCGTCAGCTCGTCGAGATCCTTAATCTCAAGTTCCTCCTGTGGTCCTTTACTGAGGACATCAGCCTCGTCTCCAAGGAGCTCGGCTATCGCCTTGTGGAGGCTATCAGATTCGTTCTCCTTATCCTTTGAGAGGATGATCAGCATATCTCCTGTTGTCTTTTTGCGGATTTTGTCAACGCAGTCACGAGCCTGTTCGGAAGGTATCTGCTGCTTCACTCGTTTGAGTACCTCCGAGTACTGCTGCTTGTCCTTCATGCGTACGATCAGCGCATTTGGCCTTGTTACCAG